CCCTGCCGTTCTGTACAACAAATGTTTACATATGAAACAAAATCCTTCCCATTGATTTCAAACACCTACAATGTATGCTTATTCCTCAAAGTCACACTGTTTAATAGACTGTAAGTGCAACATCACAAATGGGAAAGTTCAGATGATGAAAGAGCAACGCAAATCCAAGACATTTAACAAAATCAAAAGGATTCCTAGAATCACTGCCTTCATATAATGCACATATTACTCAAGCTCTACAGGCTTTCTGCTTTAGAGTTTACAAGGCAGCAATAGTCAAAAGTGTTATATCCATAGAAAAGTAATAAGCAAACAGCTCATTTTTAAAGTATTTTTGGTCTTCTGCCACAACACCCATTTGTAGGCTGCTGGGGGGGTGGGGGGGAGCAGAAATTAAAAAATCACATTTTTCAGGGCCATGCTATAGAAGCACATATATCCTGTGCTAGATCTTTTACAAAAGGTAGGACTGCTTTAGCATTGCAATACCCTTAATTAATAAACAGTTGTAATCAAGTTGCCTTCAACTGACATAAATATTTGATACATCTGGATCTCACAAAGTCAAAGACATGCTCTGCTCCTGGCTGTATAATGAAGATATACACACAACATCTTAAAGACTACAGGAGTAGAAGAAGCAGTCATGTTAAATTAACTTGCTTGTTTCCAACAGCCGAAAAACTATTCATCTCCAAGCAGTGCCAACTGCTTAGCTTTTAACAGATTTTGAAAGTTGTGGATAAGAACAAAAAGCTGTGACCATGAAGTTTCCTAGGAAAAATAAAATCACAGAAGACGACTGTGACAGTAGCCAAAATCATTGTAACTATTTCTTGCATGCTCCAAGCATATCCACCATGACACCATTTTAAGGCAGCAACTCTCAAACTACAGACCAGAAGTGGAACCAGAATTAGAACTGTAACTTGAAGAATTTACAGACTGTAAAAAGGATTGTCCATCTAAAATGTCACATTTTACAGTAATCCAGAACTGTCAATATTTTAATCACATTTCTGTATCTGAATGCGTTCACCTATCTGTGAAAACATTCATACTTCACAAACCCCACCATTTTCATTTTGTTTTCTAATGCAACTGTAGCTAGAAGAATTGTTTGCAAGAACTGTTCCTTTAATAGAGGTGAAGTAAACTTAATTAATTTCTCATCTGGTATGATTTTTATTGGACAGAAGCTTATAATTTCCATGTATTGCACAAAGTGATCAGTGTGCGCATCAAACCAAAATTGCTAAAATGAAGCTAAAAAACGTACTTGATGTCAACTGTGGCTATTACAAAATATGACAAAGAAAACATCATGGATCCATACAGTAAAGAGGAGCACCTGAAAATCTAGATTCTACTCTCAGGCTTCAATTTGCATAATTTATATTTGTCACACCAATATTAATTAATGTCAAATCCCATGCCAGCAACATTCTTAAAATCTGAGAAAATAGTTTAGTTTCCAAAAAGCAAACCGATTGATACAGAAGCAAACTTATATTTCTAAGAGGAACAGCAAACAGCAACACACACAAAGCATGAATACTATTACTTTACATTTTTTTTGGGGGGGAAAAAAAGCATTTAAAAGCAAAGAACAAAGAAGAGTACAGCTTACCAACTTCAGGCTTCCCAGGATGTAATTCTGAAGTACGGTTTCCTTCAGCGATGTAAACGGGAAAGCTTGAACATTCAAGATACAGCTGACAAGCAGCAATAAAGGCAGGAAGGTATTCTTTTGGTGGTTTTTTCTTGTTTGTTTTCTTCACTTTAGCATCAACTTGTGATTCTCTGTCCCATTTTGTGGTCTGTCCTTGCTCTCTACTGGGGTCTACTTGAAGCTCTGCCCCTAAGGGCTGAGACGAGGAATTACTCTGGATGATATACAGGTTGATAAATCTGGTTAAAAACTGTTGGACATACTCCAAACAGCACTGCATTGCAGTCTTTTGGATCGTTTTTCCACTTCGAGTTGCTGTCCCCTGTGTCATTATGGAAGGAGGCCGTACAATGGTTTCCTCAGATCCCACAGTTGATGCCGTCTCAGTCTCTGAGGATGTGCTACCAACAATAGGAACGCCAGGCGCACCGTGACCTTCATTCAGTGCTCTGTCAATGTCATCAGTTGTATCTGCCTGGTATTGTACAAACTCAGTGAATCCACTTTCTGATGATCGACTGCTTGGAGGATTTTCACCGTCTTCAAACACATCATTAGGATTTTCAAGTGAAACTGATGGCACCTGAGTGAGATAAAAGTTTAACGATTGCTCAAAATGGGTTATTTAGGTCTTAGTGAGAAAATACTTATTTGCTTCTCCATTTGAAAGCAACAATTTTATTCCACAGTTTTAAATCTATTCATATAAATACATTTTATGCAAAATAATGTTTGGTGTTTCAGTAAGCATGCCAGACCGAGCTAACTATAAAAAACCAAAGCATTTTAAATATTATTGCTTTTAACATCTTCTTCATATCATAATCATGTCTATTTTTTATGAACAAATGCTGACATGAATAGGCACAGGTATTATTAATTTATACAGCATCATAAACCAAAATATTCATACATCAAAGAAAACGCCTCACTTCCAGCAGGAAGCAGGACATTGAACTATGTTGCTTATGGTCACTTTAGCTAGCAAGATTCTTTTAATACTTTAGATTTTAGCACATAGATAGTAAATTATTTTAACTTAATAACTGTCTAGATATACTACTGATAGAACCACCACAACTATTAAACTTTTGCCTCATTAGGAAGTTAAATGTCATTTAACATTACAACTATAAGTTGTCAAAACACCTTAAAAAAAGTGAACTGTGGAGCTGTAAATAGAAATAGAATAAAATCTCTCATAACCTAAAAAACATTTTTCCCACTTCAACATTTATACTAATAAAGCCAGCTCAATTTCTCAATAAAATTTATACTCTTTGACTTAGGAAATTGTCTATTAAATGTGGATGGAATCTTAATTCATAGATGTATATATGGTACGACTTTAACTAGCATCTTTCTTTTTATCTACCAATCCTGAGATTTGGAAGTTGGGGATTTCTTTCAAATACAAAGTTATAATTATAAAAGAAGAAATAAGCTTTCATTTAAAAACTACTAACCATTTGCAACTAGAAAGAAAAAAAATCATGTCCTAGAAACAAGAAAGAAGGTTTGCTCCAGCAACACAGTTCTTTATGACTCATTGTGCACCTTAATTCCTCATCAGTTCAGAATACGCACAAATCTGATGAATTTTACTCAAAAAGAACCCATAGCGGCTTTCTGGTCTGCTCTAACCCCCTATAGGCTTGTTGGTAACTGGTAGCACAGTCTCTGCTTCCTGGTGAGAATGTGAGGTGAACAGGGAAACAACTTAAACAGAAATGCATGGATCAGTGGGAGTAAATGCAGGTAAAGAATATGCCCACATAGTTCTCATCTAGCTATCTTACCAGCGATGGCAGATGTTACCTGAGACCTAACAGGCCCAGAAGTTGTCTTGCTGTCTGATCCTAATCACTAGCCATCTTAAATGCAGAATTTGAGCATAACCTGAAAATCTGAATAACTTTTTCATGAATAAATAAAAACAGAGACATCATCATATATGGCGAATTACATCTTGCTTTACCAGAGATGGAGCAAGAATGAAAATGAAAATTTGTTTGAAATAGCTTTCATTGCCTCCTGTGTTAATATGTACTAAAAAGCTTGGAAAGACATGAAGGGTGACCCTGTCTTACAACATACAACGTAAAAGAGATCAGAAACATGGTAATTAATTTCACTCTATCTCTTAACAGAAGCCATGGCCACATATGTCAGTTGTAATTGAAAGAAAAAGGCTGTTGAAGGTTCAAAGGGTAACATCATTCAGTCAAAACAGGGTTTATTGAAAAAAAAGAAAGCAAAAGAACAAAAACAGGCAGGTATCAGCTGGCTAGAAAGAATAAGGATAGGATCCTGCATAAAGGATGCTGAAGTCCTAATGGACAAGGTGAACATGAGCCAGCAGTGGACCCTTCTGGTGAAGAAGGCCAACCACACACAGGATGGTACTAGCAAAAGTATAGCTAGCGAGTCAAGGGAAGTGATTAGTCCCCTCTGCTCAGCAGTTTTAAGACCACATCTGGAATACTGTGTCCAAGTTTGTACCCATTAGTACAAAAAAAACCACTGATGTACTGAGCAAGTCCAGTGGAGGGCCACCACAGGAGCACCTGACATAGAAGGAAAGCTCAGAGAGTTGGATTTGTTCCATCTTAAGAAAAAGAATGCTAAGAGTTGTGGAGGGGGAGAAGGTGTCTTTATTGCTGTCTGTGACTTCCCATTAGGTAGTTGAAAAGATGGAGGCATGCCCAGAAATCCACAGTGAAAGAACAAGAGGCAACGAACACAAGCTGCAACAATGGAAATTCTGATTAAGTAACACAGTGCAAACAAACAAGCTGTACAGAGAAGTGTGGAATCTTCATCCTTGGAGATATTCAAAACTAAGCTGGATATGATCCTAAGTGACCTGGCCTAGCTTTAAAGTAGAATCTAACTTTGAAATCAGCCCTGCTTTTAGCAGTGACCTGCAACTGTCACTTCCAACCTAAATTATTCTATGCTGTTCCTCTAGTTTCTTCAGCTGAAGAACAAGGATTTCAGGGCATGTCACTTAACATACCTTACAGAGGCATGGTTGCGTAGACCAAACTAGACAATGTTAAAGAGAAAGAGCAAGAGCTGCTGGGTGGTTTTTTGCTTCTATTTCTTTATTAAATGATCATAAGAACTTAACAGTGACAGTAAAATAACTGATGGGTATTAATCTGATGTACATAAATGGGGTGAGAGGAGAATTTACATATGCCTGATAAATAACCAAAAAGGATAATTCTTCTGAGTCCAGTTATTCTTACATGATCAGACTCCTGAAGTGCATTACAACTTTAAACCTTAGTTCATTCTTAGGCCCTGATTTTCAAGTGACTTCTACATGTATAATATTAAATCTAGATAAAAACCCTTAAAATAAAGACCTTTTACCACAATGAAGTGCATAATTATAATTTCTTTTGATGGTCAAAGTTTCTCATGTATTGTTGTATATTAAACTGAATCTAATCAAAGACTTGTAGGAGGTTCAGCACAGACTTAGAAAGCCCACTTTTCCTTTCCACACAAAAAGTATTTTTCCAATATGCTGCAAAACATAAATCAGTCACCTTTTTGTTTTCCCATTCTTTGATGGAGCTGCTATGTCCACTAGGAAGCTGCAGGATACCATCTGTACCAGCAGATAGCAATGGAGGTTGAACCTTACTAAGGATCTTTGAGCAGAGTCTGAGAGAATCAGTAAGCTCGGACAAGTGCAAAGTATGAAGATGGCTTGTCAATGCAGAAATCATCCTGAGCAACAGCTGAGGCAAGTGTTCTGTCTGTATTTCAATGTAAGTCTCCTAACAAAGTAATAGTAAAACGCATTAATTGTAATACCAAATCCCACCCTGAAAGTTATCTTCTATAACAGTGGTACCTATCATTTGCTTAACTGTGTTCTAAACATATGGAACATGGAAAAAGGAAAATTAATGTCTTAATATCCCAGAATAAGAAATACATGCTTTACTTTAAAAAAAAATATATACAAAATTAACTTTACAGTTGGGTAACCAACAAATAGAAATATATTTAGCTCTTTTTCAGAATTTTACATCTTGTTCATTACACAACAAATACATTACAAAACATAACAATATGGCTAAAGAATGCTACTACTATAATTTTAATAACCTTAATATAAAAGTTTAAGAACGAAAGATAAACAAGTTATTAAGAACTAAAGGGAAAACAGGCTGATGGCCATACCTGACACAGCACTCTCATACTTCTAGTAGGCTTTGAAATGAGAAAGCAAAGAATTGAGGAAAGACAGGTATAGGACAAAAAAAAAAAACAACACAACAGTTCCAACAGTCTTTGCTACATTAAGCAATACCAACAGAAAAAGAAGATACATCTTATCATGACATTTAAAAGAGCCTTAAAGAAAGCTACACATCTAAACTAGCATATTAAACTACAGAAGACTATACTTGTAATGAATACAGTGTAGTTTTAGAGAAAAGAAATTGAGGCCAGACAAAAATTTTCAGGTATAAGCATCATAAAAACCACTTTGGTTATATCCAACCAGTCCATCAAGAATCATACAATGAAACCAAAACTTCTTCTAAAGGTGTCCACCAATTTATGTCAATATATTTTCAGGAAAAACAATTAATAAAGCAGATATTTCTGTAGACTATAAATATACAGAATCCCAGTATTAGTAACGAATAAAGCAATTCTTACCAAAGAAACTATATCCAACAAAAAATCCACTAACAAGCAGAAATTTGTCAGGGGTAACTCAGATTGTTCACTACCACCTCCAGGCCCAGTTTGAAGTCTGGCATGTAATGTCCTCCTGCAAAATTCAAATAGGGTTTCACAGTATTTTCCCCTTCCCTTACATTGACCATGTTTCTGTAACTTAATGCAAAGTTGTAAGCATCAGGGATAATCCCTATAAACAAATAAACAATCTCTCATTTTACTATTAAGTAGCTCATTTGGCCCCATTGCATGCTTTCAGAAAAAGTAGCAACGAGCCTTTTGCTGTAAACCAGTCTTCATTCATAAAATAAGGAAATTCAGGCTACAGAAAATTGCCTTTGTGACTCCACCATATACAGCAGTATTTACTAATATGAGCATGGGCAGCAATAATAGAATTAAGGGATAGTGTTACTGGAAGCACAGTAATTTTGAAGAGATCTAAACCAAACGCATTAAGCACTTGAAATAAAGACAACCAAAAGTGGAATAAAAGGCCCATGAAGCTTTAAAGCTGTGCAAGAGGAAAACAAAACAAGCTCTTCTAGATGTCCACTTCAACTTCAGCTGACAGCATTATTTTACTATTGACAAGAATTCATAATCTGATGAGTTTTATTGCTGAGTGAAGTAAGACGGAACACAAATCCCCTGTGAAATCATGTTGCAATCTGACAATATTATAAGCAAAGGATATGAATAAAGGCATAATACTTTGTTTCTCCAATTCATTTATTCTGCTAAGGATGGTGGTGAGGTAGTGTCACATTTTCAGCAATAGTTACTTATGCTAATCCTTTCCCTCTGTTTTGGAAGCGTTCATGAACATATATGCCAGGACTGAAAAAAGGATTTATTTGAAATAATAAAAGCATTATAGAAACCAAGTCTGAAACAGTGACAGTAATTGTTTATCAAAAGATTTTAAAAAGATTTAAAAAATCATATTTAAATTGCATCCTGTCAGTAACCTACGTTTGAAAAGTAGCACCCTACTTAACCCACACCTCCACTGGGTGTCTCTCTCTAACAACATACTGTATCTCTCTAACAACAGATAATTCTCTTCATAAAACCAGCAGCCTGTTTTACGGTTCAGTGAAATGGTCCCTTTGTGTAAGTCATAACAAATTCTTTTTCACATTCTGTGCTCCTACCCAGAACGATCTACCATTTCATAAATTACTCACAGATTTGTTCAACTGTAATACCTCATAAAGGATGACTTGAATTCAACTCACTGAGCCCCTTATCAAAAATAGTTTTGAGAGAAGGCTCAATAGCAGTGAGCAATACTTAGAAAGGAAAAAAACACTAGATACAAGAAATCATATTTTTAATTTTTAGTATGGGAAAATCATAAGAAAAAGCCCAAGACAAATTCAGAGGGCTATCTAAATTGCTTTAAAAGTAGTAACTGTGATTTAGCAATCAGACTAGATAATATAAAGATAACTTACAAATTCATGGTTTAAAATCAACTGGTTATGTTTTCACTTAATGGTGTATCTTTTTAAACAGAAAGGCAGCAACTTACATAACACTAGCTCATGCAGAAAGGAAAAAAAAAAAACCACATTCTCCAGATTCCATTTATTTATTAACAAGGCAATCTGGTATCCATGCTTAGAGTAACATCTACTTATACGTAGAGAAATTCTGACCTGCTTGTTAGTTGGTCGTAGACTGCTTTCTTTACTTTAGCAATTCAGGCCAATACACAAAAATTAAGTCACAGACATGTTGGAAGGGATTTCATCTAGTCCAACCTTTCATGCTGAGCAGGACTACTAACAACGCTAGATAAATTTATCTACAGTTTTGTCTAGCAGAGTCCTGGAAATCTCCCAAGGAAGCTCCACAGCTTTCCTGGGTAACTTGTTCCACCACTGCACTATGCTCCTAGCAAAGCTTTTCCAGAAGTCCAACCTGAACCCCTGAGCCAACACTTGTTGTTGCTGTCCCTTGTTTTACCATCAGCCATTACCAAAAGTACGGCTGTATCAACTTTGTAAATGCCCTTCAGGAAGTCATAGGCTGCTATTCAAGCCCCCTCTTTGCCAGGCTAAACCAAACTCACCTACCTCAACCTCCCATGCAGTGTCCTATGACTGACTATCTTAGCAGTCCTCTTCTAGAGTCTAGAGCCTCTTCAGTTTCTCAACACTCCTCCTCAAGCGGGATGCCCAAAGCTGGACACGATATTCCACACATGACCTTAGAAACACTAAGTGAAAGGAAAAATAACTTCCTTTCACCTGTCAACCACACTCCCCCTAAGGTAGGCCAAGACAGTTTTCTTTACTTATGACAGCACACTGTTGGCTCATAGACAACTTAGTGTCCAAATATCTTAATACATTATTAAGCTATTGCATAAGCAATGAAAAACAATTTTCTACAAATTTCATTTGAAATCCCTACACCGTCTATCCCTTGCCACAGCAACAACCCCTGCTCTCCTGTGGTCCCTTGGTCCCCCTCCCTCCCGTTAATATTTTCAGTTTTCCCCTATTTACTATGTTCCCTCCCATAGCCCCCCTTGCCATGTACAGGACTCCCACGCTTCTTCTTCCGTAAAAGAGCAGAGCAAAAGATAACACATTCCACAAGTCACTCGTGGTAAAGCTGACAGGTTTGCTAGACACCCAATGAGTAATCCTGTACCGGACAGACAGAACAAAACAAACTAGCTTTGAGATCACTCTAGAGTCTTCCCTTCGGCAGAGGTGCTAATTCTGTCTCTTGATTTTATCCAGACACTGAGTTTGTGGGAACTCATGTTGCTGAGACCACCAATCACATCTGATTGAAATTGGCCAAAAGATCAAAGTTAAAGGGATGGGGAAGAAAAAGACTTACAGACTAAATGATCACATGAGACTAACTTCTTTGAAGAAAAAAACACTTATAAAACAAAAGTCAACTTCAACTTTACACATACAGAGATTAAGTATTATAACCTACCTACAACATTCTTCAAACCAACGAGCAATGTAATCCCACATATAATAAGGCTCAAAGGAATTAAAAAGAAGATTGGCAGTTTTAATCAATTCTGCTGTTTTCTTGTTTTCTCTCAGTTTGCTGAAAGAAAATAAAAAGAACATTTTATATTTTTATACTTCATTTCCGATTATGTAACCACACATCACCGTGAGTTTACCCGCTGCCAGTTAACACTGATAAATTATCCTCTCCTCATCCCTACAGTGATTGTTGCTCTAGGGCTCAGTATATTGGCAGGCTTCTCATATCAATGTCTTTTCACAGTTGCTAGGTTTCTTCTCTATCCTTTCTTTAGTATTTGTCTTCTAACCACATTTTTAAGAGATCTGTTTTCCCATGATCATTCCTATAGTTGTTTCTCCCCCCAGCTTTGAACTTCCTTCTTCTCTCCACCTTTTAAGATATTAAATTCAAATCCTGAAACCCTTTTTATCGCCCTCTCTGGCTGTCTTGTAGCACTCTTCATTTTTACTCTACAAGAAAGCTCATCAGTCCACTTTTTTTTTTTTAAGAATACAGATGTAAAGAATGCCACAATTAATCTATACCATTGACATACTGACTTCCAGCTGTATCAAGGAAGCATTTTTGTCATGGATAAAGAATAAAACATATGCTAAATATTTTTTTAAAAATAAATAATAAAGCCATAGCCCTTCAGACCTTTGCACTGAATGCAGAAGTTGCAATTAATGTCAATGGATCCTGCATCATGAAGAAACCAGGTCACAATCCCACAGGCTTCACAGTCATGGTTTCAGCAACAAAAAGATATATTATTTAATACAAAATGCATCATAGTCATTATTCACCTGCTTAGCTGTGTGTGATCTTTGTTGAAAGAAGGTTCTGCCTGAAGCTCCAATTCTGCTTTGCACTGTGTGTATAATGTTCGAAACACTTCAATCAATACATCCTCTAGGATGGCAGGGCCTAGGGATAAATACCAGCAATCACAGTCTTATGCATTATAGCACCACTAACAGTCCACATTTGAAAACTATCAAAATCATTAGCCAGCTCTGGTCACTGAAACCATAAAATACCTTCTGTTTAATTTCATAAACTACCTCAATTTCAGAAGGTTTTTTTTGCATTCCAGAAATACACAGGCACTTGTAATGCCTGGGAGTATATAAAGCACAAGCGGAGTTCTTTTCCCATACAATGTGTGTACAATGATGGTTGGATACAAACACACCTAGTTCAAAAGCTATGCAGTCACATCAGTACAGCCCATGTTCAAGCCAACACACCCTCTTTGAGGAATTATTAGCTCAGCTCAGTAACATGTAGATGTGACTTCATGGATTCCTGATCAAAGGTAGCTTTCAACCAAACAGATTCAAATACCCACCCATAAGCTAGCTCATGCTGTTATCATACGGAAAATATATTTTATTTTGACCATCTTCCATAATACAAGGTAAAATATTTTGAGCATCTTTGTTCCTTTTAATTTGAGGCAGGTTTTCTTTAATTCCAGATATAGACTGCAGGATATTTTTTGAAATAGCACCTCCTTCAGATTTCAGCTAAATCTCAAGTTTGAAGAAAAAAAAAAAAACACAACTTAGTTTGAAAGGAGTTCACAAAGTGATCCTGCTTGAAATATCCTTTGCTTTTTCATGCTTTTTCCTAGCCTCATTGAGCTGCCTTCAGTGAGAGTGTGGTCAATGAGTTAAGTAGAAATCCTGTTAGCTTCTTCCATCTGTTTGCTGAAAGAATCCTCATAGCTCTGCTTACTTCATGAAATCTTAATGTACACGTTGCCTCTGAAAATTTAAACTGACCCCCAGAAATCACAAATTACCAGGAACATGACAAATTCTTGTCAGATACTTTGTTCTTTGCAGTCTGTCTTAACCACTTCCTTTCAAGTTGTACTCTTTAATTGTTGTATTTTTACACTTTTATTATCCTGCCTCCAAATCTTAGGATAGACTTCAAAAATTATTTTTATTTTTTCAGTTACCTCCAAAACTGTTTTTCCAAAGAAAAAGGGAAGATATCCAACACTTAATTGTTGTAAATACTTTTGCCTTATCTAGTTTTGTCCCATAGTCCTCTGCACTCACCTGCTAAACAGTGCATTTAAACACTTTAAACAGGGGAAAGGAAAATTTAAAAAAAAACCAAAACAAAAACCAAAGCAAAAAAAATTTCCAAAAAATCCACCCACAAAATCAAAAAAATACCTGCTTCCTCCAGATAAATTCTTCTGAAAAAAAAAATTTGTTTTCTTGTTAATATCTCTCATCTCTATGTGTATATTAGAAGAAAGAACAGATTACTCCCAAAAGCAACAGCTGAGATTTCAAATAGTGAAAGTCACTATTTGATTAAATAAATGGAAAAGATCCAATCTGCATTTCTTCCAACATGCAGTCAGTTCTCTCTATGACTTTAACTTACTATTTCCTGTGTTGAAAGTAGAAGAAATTGCATTTGTTAAAACGTAAATCTAATGAATACATTAAATAATTACTTGGAAGATCTAAGAAATCTAGCTAGCCTGCCAGTACTAAGAATACAGCTTTTCAGCTTTTTCAATTTGACCAGCAAGAGAGAAAAATTCTCAAAGCAAAACCACGTAAAACAAGTTAAAGCTAGAAGTAATATGAGAATTACCTAGTTCAGGCTTATCCAGCAAACTGATAAGAATTCGAAAAGGCTTTAAGTCTTGCATTAATGTGCTTTCTTCTCCATGCCCATTAACTTGTAATATTCCAATCATTGCCTACAAAGAGCAAAAGCATATCAGGAAAACAAAAACAAACCCAGAAAACAGTTTTTGAAAGAAACATGCAATAAAAGCTGCATACAAAAGGAAAATTCTCAGTAGCGGAGACCACTGTTTCGTCTCACTGCAGCTCATTCTCTCCATGCTTAAGTATTCTCTCAACTTTGCCAATGAGAATATTTCTGTGGAACAAAACTTGATAACTTGTATATACTTAAAGCCAAAATAAAATGTTATAAACAGATACCAACTCAAAATTTCATGTAAGAATAAAAGACAAGAAAATTAATGAAGAAAATTGTTTGACAAGGTAAGGCATGTAGATATTAAGGGCTTAATAAATAATAATCTGTCCATCTAGGATATACCCACCTACGTGGCAGAAAACTTTCTTGAGTAAGTTGACTAGATAGTAATGACAACTTCAAAACAAATGGGAAAACTGACTCTCTATACTGAAGCAGTTTAGGGAACGAGCTACAGGACTAAAAAAAGCTCAATGAAACTGCCACAGATTTTGCTTAGTTTTCTCTCTGTGGCTGGCTTCGCTGTCTGAGTCAAAACTAGTTTGTTTCTTTTACAGCTTCTAAAAAGCGAGGACAAAGAAGTGATAGAAGAGAGATGGGGAAGAAGAGAGACAGGAAAAACAGGTTCAACCTTGCTATCTGCTATAAACCAAGTATTATCAGCCAGTATCCTGAAAGAAAAATCTTCTGTACTTGAACATGCCTTTAGAAGGTCAGAATATTCAGTACATTGTATCAATGAATAAGATGGGGGTGGATTGGATAAAAGAACACACAACGAGACTGTTAGGGAAGAAGGCAGAAAGAAGCAATGCTTTTGAAGTCTTTCAAAAGACAGCGAACGGTTTTAGAAGGCATATGCAATTTATATTATGTAGAGCAAGCCACTGATTTTAATGTCTGTAAAAAATTTTAAAGCAACAAACAAGTGAATTATCCCCGTTATAAAAAATGGCCACTCTCCATTCTACTGTAGCGTAGTACCTGCTAAAAAAAAAAAAAAAAAAAATCTCAAATGGACTGTATCAACTCTACACTGTTGTTAGTCTTTTCAGACAGAAAAGCTTTAATGACACTGATTAAGCTAGAAAGATGGACAGATTTAAAAGGAAGACCACAACCTATTAACAAATGCCTAAATGTTGCTAAAAGCTCACCACATTTTGTATAGAAGGTACATGCAAAACTGTATCTCATTCAGGCCTCTCCTCTACACCTCAACAATTTCTCAATCATCTGCCATGGGAGGCAGAAGGGTGACAAGAGAAGGGTGAGAGAGTGCCAATGAGGTCCTTGCTGCACTGGAATTCTGGGGTCTCTTCCTCATCAGTAGAACAGCAGTTCTCATTACCTTCAGATAAAACTGAAAGTGCTAGCTCTGTGCTGGGTATCAGCTTTAAGTTGTGATGAGCTAAATATTCTTGTGTCAGCTACTAATACTGGAATCCACTCTCATTCCCATATATAGCACCACAATTCTGACTGAATATCAGAAAAATCCTGACCTTATCAATTTGCCTTAATGATAAAACGTCTTCCTGATTTCAAGATCAGACTCACAGCATCTTGAAAGACATCTGTATACTTTAGTTACTGTGAGAGAAGGAGCACAGCTCTTGAGGCCAGGTGATCTCAGCTCACTTAGCAAGGCTTTAAGGGTCAAACAGTATGGCTGCCAACTTGCTCAACTATTCCTGACAGCCAATGGACAGCAGAAAAGACATTCCCCTTGCCTAGAGGGGAGGAAGACCGTTCTTACTCAGACTTTCTGAGTACTATCTGATCAAATTTTACCAATTCCCAAGACACAGAGGAGTTTCCACATCTACAGAAGTAGAAGAGAATTCTCCAATTCTGTTTTATGAAAGAACAGGCTCCAGTGTGCTGGGCTCATAATCAAATATCTTCCATATATGCTACATTCATTGTGGAAGAGGAGAGAGAGAAATTTAATATTTGTTATTCTAAAGAAACACGTTATTCCATGTCTTCATTTTTCCAAAAAGAAGGTTTTAGAAGAGTAGGACACAATACCACAAAAAGACAGAAACTACATGGTCACATTGAAATGGCAAGTCAAAAGATAAAGACACAGCAACTTTGATCAGCATCCATTTATGAAGATATATGCCACAATAAAACATCATACAATAAAACATCATCTAGCTACCTGGACTAACATCTCCTTCGAGAAGTTGTTGAAATAGTAAGTGGCATGCTCCTCAGGATTGCTGTGCCTTGTACTTCTGGGTCCTATAAGGGCACCATTGTTATCAAAACCTTCAAGCAAACAAAAGACAAGGCAAATAAATATTTGTCTCTTAATAGAATATTTTGCCAATTTCTTTAAACTAGAAATCAATACAGTAGCACTGATAACTTACCAAGATGAAGTCCAAGTAATGTTGGCAAGAGAAAGATGATTTTGTAGAGTTTAATACAGGAAACTAAGTGATATTTCCATGCAAGCAGTTTGCACACAAATTACAAACTTTAGTTTTATGCAACATTATTAACCAAATTACTTCTTGTACAAAAGAAACAAAGGTTCACAAACACTGCACAAACCACATAGTCCTAGAGTATCTTCAAGAAAACCTGTCCCACAAAAATATTTCAATATTAATATTATTACGAGGACACAAAATTCAGTATTTTGAATATAACGAGATGATCACCAAAACACGCCAACACGACTAAAGCACTTAGAGAGAATAACAGTCATACTACACAAAATCAATTTTGTTATTCAAAATTACATGAAGGGGATAGACCTTTGTTTTGGTTTTGGGTAGACCTTAGACCTTTTGTAAGTTTGTATGTTTTCTTTTACCACATAAATTTTTTTATTCTACAAAAAAAGAGGCTTAAGGGGGAAGGGGGGGGGGGCGGAAATCAAGAAGTCAGTCAGGATATCACCCCACTCCACAGAAGCATTTTCCACAGTTTTTGTCCTGAAGTGACAAAAATAGAAGGAAAGCCTGAGAAGATGCATGCCCTTTAGCAGCAACTTAAAACAACCACTGTTAACAATGGTTAAGCTAACCTGGATTTAAAGAGATGTAATGTGATTTTTGTGCCTAGAGAATGTTAATAGACCACTCCCAGCTATAAAACAATAGGAAGGAACAGCTAGCACCAGAATTAAATAATGTCATACAGAATATCAGACTTCAGAGAGTCTTCCAACATAACTGACCCCCCTCCCCCAATGTTTTATATTAGGAGTAGAATATCATTATAATATAAAAGCAGAAAACAAAAGAAAAACAAGGAAAAAAGCTATATTGCCAGAAGGTCTGTCCAAATATACAGCCAAGGGAGGCACTAGCTGTTCACAAAACAGGACCAGGAACAGTCACTGCAAAACTATCTTCTGAAGTTATATTATCTTTCAGTGGAGACTATGCTCATGAAATAGCTGTAGAAGAAGGTTCCACAACTAAAAAAGCAACATGATATTTTAAACACAAAGCATCTTTTTCAGTGACAGGAAAAAGACACATCTAGTCCACCAAATTTAGATGAAACATTAGTGCAGTGTTTAATCTGGAAATTATTTTTTCCCTAAATTGGAAAATGTAGGTACGGAGCATGACAGTGCATTTCACTGTCTGTCTTTAAAAGATGAGTAATTTGCAAGTCAGTGTCTTGAGAAATGATTAAACAAAGAAGCCGGGATTTTTTCATATTTATCTTCTAAATCCCTGCAACTTCTACAGCAACAAAACCAATCCCCTCATGCAAAACACTGTTGCTGACTTTATCCTTCCCTTCATAACTTCAGTTCTCTCTCATGTACCTTGACTACTTACTTCCTTGCTCCCCAGTCACCCACAGGCTACCTGCCTCTCATGTCTTAACTATCAGCTGGGAAAGATGCAAGAGCTGCTGGGAAGGGTTCTGGGTAGCCTGAGAAGCACATATGTGCTTGCTGGTGACCTGGGAAGCCAAACAAAAAAGGTAACAGCAGACCGTAAAACAGTCTTCCCCTCAAGTAGAGAAACCACTTTATGTCTCTCCATTCAGTCTCCAGTTTCTGTGATGCTCTTAGGAACTCCCATGTCAGAGAACCTGACTTCTGTCGAAGTGGGCTGAAAGCAGTTTTAAAGAGTAACAGGCCAGTTTCATGTGACCACAGGCTTCATTTCCTTAAAATAACAAGGCTGAATAAAGAGTAAATGTTTTCTAAAACTTTCTAATTTCTAATTTTCTAAATATTCCCTAAATAATTAGAGTCTTCTGAATAGCTATTATTCTCTGCTACCCTCTTCTGATTACACGCTGGTTTCATATAAAAAATTAAATGTGTATTGTATTGATATTCTGCCATTTGGTAGAAGTGTGCATCCTGTCATTGATTTTTACCCCAGAAAGGTGTTGAAATAATGTTCTAGTTGCATGGAGAACATAAGTGATTGGCGATTTGTTAATTCAACCATGCAAATATCTAATGAAGCTTAAAGTTTGCATACTCAAGCCTCTATCAATGTAATATCAACATTTTTCAACATTCTTTTATTTTCATTCCTTCTATGCTGTTGTGTTCCAACTGCCATTTACACTCTATAATGCCTGCTCTGGTTTTTCCATTTTATGTTTTTTAGGGAGACAAAAGTTACCTTTCAGTGTCTACTTATGTGGGCCTAGTGCACCAGGCTCTACCCCTGAATGTGGCCCGTATTTGCTGCTTTAGGAAAATGTACCAATAATTTATATAACAGGAAAGAGTTCCAGCATGACATTCTTCATCTTTCATGTCCATGGAGAGAGATAGTGCCTTTCTTCCTTATGATATAAATTATTTCATTTTTCCAAGAACCTTTCTCTGCAATACAGCAAAATACTGCTAATGAACATACAATCCTTCCTCCACTTTTAGTGAACAATGAAATGAAATACAAACCTACCTAGAAGCCATGCATAAAGCCTTCGGTTGAGTGACATATCCCTGCGCAGTACTACGTGAAGGGCTGCTGACAAAATTCTGATCATGTCTGGACGTGTTGCCTGAAGAAGTTAGAAACACGATTAAATTTAGCTATGAAAAGTAACACTTTTTCTATGCTTGCATTTTAATGTGCACTAAAACATAGTTAATTTCATGTTCTGACATTTCTAAATTTGAAATAGTATAAGAAAACATAATCTTGCTCTTAGGAAACCAAAATATGATTATTATTTGGAACAGACACTTTGTAATAGTATGCACACTTTACAAACAGCAAAAATACTTGATTCCATTAACAGCTCATTTTTATTACAAGACATTTCATTTTGTTCATTAGGCAAAAGCCTTGGAAGCAAATTCAACCAAAAAACAGTGTAAAAAAAAAAAAAATCACTGAAGAATTTTAAATATCTTTCAACTTCTTACTACTTTAAATGTTTGTATAAGTCTTAATATAAAAAAAAAAGCTGTATTGATAATAATTTCACCATTCTAGCACCTAAACAGAGACACTCCAAATATTCCTATAGTAACTGATAAATGTGAACAAACCACTTCCACAAGCAAGAACACAGTTATTTTTACAGGAAAGTGCAGGTTTTCGTCAATTTCTAACAAGGTGAGAATCAACCTTGTATAAGTTCTCCTCCAGGAATAAAATAAATCATGGATCATTTAAAAACAGAAAGTGACTAACAATAAATGCAGTCAAAAAAAAATTACCTAGAAGTTGTAAGGTCTATCTCCCACGACTGCTAGGGCTAACTACTCACCCAAAACCAATAATCATTTTCAATTCTCTAGTGTTCTGAATCAGTTATGCTAAGAGGATTAACTTTTGCTGCTTTTGAACACTGAGAACTGGAAACTTGCACATGAACAGATAATTTGTTTTCTCACGAAATTAGACCAAATTAAAAGCTTCTGCATAGGCTAGACATCATAATTTATATTGGGTTGCATATACAGAAGTTAAAGTTAACTTCAAAGTTAACGCATCAAGCTAAAAAGCAGAAGGGCAGAGATCACAACATGAGAATAGCCAAACCTATCAGAGAAACTCTTAGATATGACTCTTGTTCAAGCTTGGAGAAAGTCGTTAACAAAGACCAACTAAATACTGCTACTGACTTAAGAAGTGGAGTACATTTAGGAGTTTGCAAATTCATCTCTCTTATGTTAATAACCTACCTGGCTCATGTGGAAAGGAAAACAAAAAAGGATAAGGTCCAATGTGCTCCTCTGTACTAAAACACTGGTATCTTGCACTGATGTGCTTACTGCTTCCACCTGAAGTAACGGCAGACCCCCCCAAATAGTTATTTACTGTATTATTTTAAGAAGGTAGATATAAGAGAACACTTACAAAATAAGATCAGTTGTTTATAAATAGTGATACGTATGAAATGAAGTTATTTTAAAATTCTGAGTAAGGAAACAAGATAAAACAGGAAAATAAAAAGTTTCACCACTGATATAATCGTACATAGAAACATATAATCAACATAGATTCCCTGAACTATACAAACATTAAGTTTTTGGGTTTTTGTGCTACCAATGAATATCTTAAAAGACAAAAACAATATTCTATATATTTTTCAAAAAATAGAACAAAACTCAACCACTTTTAACTGTGTGCTATGAATGGAAAGTTTTATACAAAACCTAAGCAGTTCTGAAATACTAACTCAGCTTTGCAACACTTTTATCATGCACAAAAACATCAGCTTAACTGGAGCTATAATAAATAAACATGCATTTTTATCTCTTCAAAAGGCTATGTTCAAAGACAGAGAAGACATCTAAGCCCCCCGGAAATATATTATTATATAATTAAGTAACACCAATGTCTTCATTGTTCCAACAAAACATTACCATTAATTCAATGTCACTGCCAATTATGTAGAGTTGATCCTCCATTGAAAGCTTCCTGTTCAAATGGGAAAGGACATAGGTGATCCCAGGCAAGCGAACTGCAGGGCTTGTGAGGAGGCTGCCCCAGAGAGCACTGTAGAATGCCGACTGATCCACAGCCGAGGCAACCTTCTCCAACAGCGTGTTCGTTCTGCAGTAAAATCAAGTCAGCTGAATTTAGGCATGTATCACAGCCCTTGCCCCTGCCCCCGATTTTAATAAATATAAAAATAAATTGTTACAGGAAGGTCAAAGCTTTCTTTTGAGAGGCCAAGAGAAGCCCCAATTATACACTGAACCTTATAATGCAGCCTGAACAGAGTGATCCAACTAGCAAGCCTGTGGGCAAACCTGGCTTGCAAAATGCTACTGCCTGCCCACAGCTTCTCCTCATGTACTCCTTATGTTCAAAGAGCCAAATAACTTCCTCATCTGCTACTCAAAGCCAAGTGTTGCTACAGACAGAGGTTTCGGAGAGACAGCAGGAAAGCATAGCTACTGAAGAAAAGAATCAAGCAAATGGCTTTTGCCTTCTCATTCCTTGCACTGAGCAATAACAGGGCATAAAAATATCACAATTCTTTGAGCACAAGCAATCCCCTCCCCTGTCCTCATTTCTCCCACTCATGTGGCAGCACCTCTACACCCTATGGCAGACCCTGGGAGGCAAGCTGCGTAGCCCTTCTTCCCTGTTGTAGTGATGCCAACTACACTGTGTGTATCTACCTACGCAGAAATAGAAAAAGACAACGTTAAATTGCTCTTCACATACAAGTCATGAAAATTCTAGCTTCTGAAGTTGAATATATCGAGAATATGTAAGTGTGTGAACAATTCCAAGAATCCAAAGCCTTAGAGTATAACTTCATCCCTTAATATGTTAAGATTCTACCCCAGCACCCCAGACACTACAGTCAAGATAACTCAACCGGGGCTTAGGGTTGCTGGATAAGAAGAGCTATTACCTCCCAGGCCACTCTGCTAGAAATAGAGTAATCACCTATAAAGATAGGTGGATTATTGCTGTCTCTTACATACGTGGTTTAATGACGATTTAGATATCATAATGAGTAAGTCTTAATGATGGAAGCTTTGTTTGCTATCTTAAATTCAGTTAAGATATGTATTTTAGACCAGGAATAATATGGCAGTAATACCTTAGACAAAACACGTGGAAAAGAAACAAGCAGCGTGTTCCTAACGTGTTACATATCTCCATCCATAACAAGAATCATAGAATCGTTTAGGTTGGAAAAGACCTTTAAGATCATCAAGTCCAACTGTTAACTTAGCACTGCCAAATCCACTACTAAACTATGTCCCTAAGCATCACATCTGCACGTCTTTTAAATACTTCCAGAGATGGTGACTCAACTACTTCCCTGGGCAGCCTGTTCCAATGCTTGACAACCTTCTGGGTGAAGAAATTTCTCCTAATATCCAATCTAAACCTCTCCTGGCACAACTTGAGGCCATTTTCTCTTATCCTATAGCTTGCTGCTTGGGAGAAGACCCCAACATATAACACTAAGTCTACTTAATGTCAATTCCCTTTCAATAACAGGAACAACTAACAGTTAATTTATCTTAATTAATGTTAAGAATCTTCTACCATACTATTCCATTGCAATTAATATGACTGGATGAAATTAAATACCACCTATCTTTAAAAAAAAAAAAATTCACATATATATATTTAATGAAAAGTTGCAGGGGGAAAAAAAAAAACCAAATCAAGCATATCACCTTATTAACATATCTATCCTTACCTTTCATAATACTCTGACCCCTCCTCTAACCCAGGCAGAATCCCAGTTAACAGTCCTTGCAGTCCTGGTTTCAATGTTTTCCCCAAAGGGAGGTAATAAATCTCGTACAGACTCAATAATGTTGGCTTGACAGACATAGCGGCATTGGCAAGGAGTGGAAATAGCCCGGAACTGCGAAAAATAAAATTTATCTTTTTTTAGGAAGCTTCTTATGTGAGACAATTTCATTTATATCTTAAGACTATTACAGGCATGTCCAGTGTAGTTATAAGTACCCGGTTTTTATCTTAGAATTTTGCACAGGCATAGACCAGCACACAATACGACCGCCTTCCAGATTGACAGGTTGGTATGTTAAGATTAATATTATAAGCTTTATTAGTATTGTGATAGCAAGCACTGAAGGCCCAGAGATGACTGTGTCTTTCACCAATAAAACAAATATGATAAACCAGAAGCACCTCTGAAAGGCAAAAATGTTACTTTTGCCCATGCTGAACTTACATCACAATGGAAAGTGTATTTAAAAATATACTGTCTTTGCACTTACTAAGAAAAAACAAAAATGAATGAGAACATTTGAGGAAATTTATAGAAATACTTTTCTGTAAGAAAAGAAAAATAATTATGTTTTACTTCAAGTAACCTAAAGATAAATTTTGAGACATTTATACTATTAAATAGCAACAAAGTATATACTTACTTCAGAAATTCAGTCTGAAAACAGATTCTCAAACTAACAACAAACCCACTGTTCATGATGTTGCATTTAAAGGATTGAAAACATCGGAAGTTATGTTTTGAGTTTACTATGCATGTAAGTGTAAGTTCACGAAAGTTACAAATGTGATCAGCTAAGGAGAAGTTACCTACATACTAAAAACATTTTTGCTATTGCTACTAAATAACATCAATTGTTACAAACAGTACCAAAAATCAAAGGCATGTGAACACAATTGCAATCTTCAAAATCACTGAGGACTCAGGCCAGAAGATCCCCGACACATGAAAAACAGTAAAAAAAATGAAAGAACAGTAAAAAAGGTAAGTTTGAGACAAGTGTTTTAAAATATACACCTACAGATCTACGATTAAAAAAAAAAAAAAATCTTTGTGGATACAATGTTATCCATGTTACAGGAAAAAAATATCTTTCCAAAGTACAAAAATGTTTGTAAAACATTTTTTTGCCTTTATCTATCTAGAAGAACTACTGTTTTGCCATTGTCAATTGGTTTCTTTTTTCTGCAGAAAATGTCTTTTTGTTCAATGATCAGCACACTACCCCACAGTCTTTCTTTGTAAGGCTACTACTCATCCTTCAAGATCTGATGTTCAGATACTGTAATTCTGCTTTCACGAAAAATACTGGAATCTTTGCTAATGCCTTAATGCGAATGCCAGTGTTCTCCCAAGCATCAGTAACAATAGCGTTTAGTTACATTACACGAGGTAGCATTTTCCACTATCCTAGAACTTATTGCTAACAAGATACTGCAGCTACTGAATCACTGCTAAAGCAAAAAATGCAAGCTATGAGTTCACAGAATCTTTAAAAACATGTGGAAATACAGAACTGAGACGGTCCCCTCCCCCCCCAAATGTAACTATATGTAAACATCTTGACAAGAAGTCAGAATAGCTGATGTTAAGGCATACAATTTATTTCCAAGCATTAATACACACCTTTGCTACCTAAACAGAATTCTATTTTATTCCACTATTTCTCACACTGATGAAATTTTAATCTCCAGGGATAGCTAAAGTTTAAGAACCATGTGTGACTGTGTATACACATATGCACACATCCCTCTATGCATTATATAATAAATAGCTTAATGTCTTGCCCCTCCCCTCCCCCAACCAAAAACTTCTTGGAGGTTTAGGAATCAGTATATTTTTACTACCCTTACTTTTCAAGGTTATCCTTCCTTTTCATTATCATCAGTTCTAGAGACTGACAGTGAGAAAAATTTTGTAATTGTCCCCCATTCTAACAAAACAGACAATCTTTCTGTTCTTTTGATTTGATTGCTTGGAAGAGAAAGTTTCTTGCAATAAACTATACTCAAATTCTTGTCCAATACCACTTAAATGACAACAGAAAAATGTGATGTGAATATATTGAAATAACTGTTAACACTTCAATTACTGTACATACTGTACATACGTGCACAAAAGTTTCTTTATTTCAATGAAGAAATAATAAATGCCAGGTTTTCTAGCACTAAAGTTGGTTCCTAACAAAAGTTCAGATGATCTGTTTATCTTCTGATATACAATATTCGGGAGAAGAGTACTACACAAGCACCAGTAACAGGAGGGAAAGAAACTGATTGATTCTTGCTATATGACAAAGCAATATTATTAATATAAAAAGTAGGAAACAAAAAGCATCTCAACTATGCATTTGGAATGGAGTTGTTTAAACTGTTGTACCTGTAGAGGAAAAGATCTTTGGCTAAACGCTTGGGTCCAATGATTTTGAAAATGATCTCATATGTTTCAAGTGCCTTCCGATGAACCCCTCCTGGCAAAGCTGGATGAAGACATTGTGCTAAGCGCTTGCCTATCGTCAGCTTTTTCGGTACTACCTGGTACTTCGCGTTGTTTTGCAGTACCTGATAAACCAACACATTAAGAAAACAGCACAAAAGTTAAACAACAAATACACATTTTATAAATGAGCTCCTGAACATGGTCGGTAAGTCACAACACATACCTAGATTACAACACAAGAAAAAAAAAAACAAAACTTAAGATGTACCATGGAGCTTTTTCTTTGCAATGCCTTTCACTTGTACACTTGCAATAGCTGGAATTACCAAGGCATTTAAAACTTCACTTGCAACGGGCTCCTTACTTACAGCTTGTCCATTTCATTTTACTCATCCTTTTGGGCACAAAAATCACTATCTCCATTTGTTAAAATCAATTGCCAGTAGCTCAAAGAGGACTATTAAACTGTGGGTGGTGAGTTTGGGATAGCTTTAAGAAATCATCATAGAGTGAGACAACATAAAAAACTCTGTCGCTGCCTGAAACTATATAATCACTTCAGGACCGGAACACAGAGTTGCATTTACATCTTTAGATTTTTCTTTCCCAATAGCATAGCCTTCACTTTGTATACACATGCAGCAAGAGCTGTTAATATCAAAAAATGAAAGAAATGGGAGTTTATACAAAGAAATTATGCCATTGGCATTGCCAACTGTACTGATTTTCCACAAAGTTTAAAGGGTAGAACGTAAATGCTTCAGACCTATAATTTTCTATGTCAAGTTCTGCAAAGCTTCATATTGGTAAAATGCGTGTGTGTAAAGGGAACTCTATGACCCTGACTGGAGATCCCTAGAAACACATAGGACTGATTAGAACAAGATTTTTATGGATATCAGGATCTGTATTCATTTGTAAACTGCTATTAAAGATCACAATAATATTACACATTCAACTTATTAACTGTTAAATCAAAACAATAACGTTCTCTGGTCAATGAACGATTTGAGTCCCACTTTATAACTCATGCTTCATAAAAATATTGCTGATATTTATACTGGCTACTATTTTTCAAACCATTTCAGTAACATTGAATGACATTAGAAGTAAAGGTTAGTTAAAAAAAAAAAATGTTGCACTTATTTACCCTAGAAATGTAAATAACTTTTTCCTTTACTTATAGTTACAGGAGGTTCAACTGTAAGTCTTAGAATGGCCTTTGTTTGATTTGTTTGCTCCTTGCACACACCCAACATTTGGCTCAGACTGCTAAAATATTTACAAGAATAGACTGCTAGAACCTTGCACTTCTGTATTTTTACACCAGTACCCTTTATCAGTTCCTGAATCTTTTCCAGGAGCACCTGCCAGGCATACCTTGTTTAGCTTTCCAAGTGCCGATATTAAATCTGCCCATTCACTGGAATATTCGAAGTTCTTCAGTGCTTTGTCAACAGCTGCTACATAGTTTCTGTACTTGGAATCAGTCAGTAGCTCCAGCTCCTCCGTGTTCATCCTCCCACGGTGTCCCCACTAGAGACTAGCTTGCAATTCATGTACAGACATTACCTGTTCAAAATAAAAAATAAAAACCCCTGAAACCATTGTTTCCAGAGACATATTATTACAACAGTTTTGTATAAAGAGCACTACATTTTCCTCAAAGGCATTATGAAACATCAATCGGAAATCAGTTTACAGCAAATCCTAAACAAAAGCTAACATACTGCACACAAATACTTAGTCTAGAAGACTATATTTGTAATCAAGTCCTGTTTAAAAAACAAACAAAAAAACCCCACCACAAACCAAACAAAAAACCCTAGAAAATTAATGCCCTGCTCCTCCCAAAAAGCACTGTTTTTTCTTTTCTTTTTTCCCCTCCATCACCAGAAAAACCCACCTTTCCACAAACCAGCCCTTCTGAAAACAGAAGGCACCAATCTTTCTGAATTACTTCCACGGAGAAGACAAGAATGAAGGACGCATACAATAGTCACACACTATTCAAGAGTACTTTCATGCATCAACACTTCCTTTTACAAGACCTGGTATTCTAATTCAGCGATGCAACCCTACTTTGTTTTTATATTATCATCATCCACACACAACAAAAGTGTATGTTTACCAGTGTTCTATAATCAGGGGCTTTTGCAATTTGCTCTATATATTTTCATTACATGGTAGTCTACACCAAGTAATTAACATATTCTAGTTCCAGAAACACCACCTCATACTTTTATAGGCCATACACTACTTATTTCATGAAATTCAATTGCTATTAAAAAGAAATATGTTTTTAAAGCTACTTTAACACCAAGCAATTACAACTTACAATGGGAAATCCTATTGTAGCATGTCTGTGAAAAAGGCAGCTTTTAATTGGGGTCTTTTGGGAGTTCCCTCTGATACTCAGCTTCAGAAGAGACTTTACACTCAGTAGATGCTGCTCTCTTCTGTCTTGATTAAAGGAAAATGGGAAGAAAATTGTGTGCAGAAGCACAGGCTGAAGCCTTTGGTAGACCAAAAAAACCAAACAAACCATGGAACAGGTATAAAGAAGCTGTATTCATCAGACTGTCTACCAGCTATGATAGATAGTGTCATGCTTAAAATAGCAGCTTCAGTGAGCCCTTCCAAAATGACTGGAGAACATGCCTCGCTGGCCCCTATTCCTAGTGATCAGCAATATGACAAATTAGTAGGATTGTTTGAAATTAAAAATGCCTATGAAATAATAGAGCAGAAGAATTAGCAGAAATAAAAGGTGACATTCTGATTTCTGGTGGTTCTACAGTTGATGGAGATAATGAAAACACTTATCTGTAAATTCTGCTCAGGAAAAAGTTTAAGTGTTTTTAGACCAATCAGAAAAGACTAACAACTCAACTTGTATCACTTCATGCAATAAACACACTCCAGTTGTACAAGATGCATCAAAAACTTGAACACTTTCCTGCCTTTTATCATATACGATCAATTTAAAATGTTTTATATGCACACATAAACATTTTTATTTGATTTGTACTATATCCCTCCTTCCGTTCAAATGGCATTCTCCCCAAAATGGCTATGAAGCTGCTATTTGTCAACAGTTCCCATAAGGAGTTACCACTGACTGAACAACCCTAGGACTGGCTACCCAGTATTTTCAGCTCCCTGAAGGCCAACTCCTTGTCATGTTCTTAAAACAACCCCAAAACCTACAAACTACGTCACTATTAGTACTGTTTTACCTTTTCAGCACTCCAAAAGGTAAAATGAAGAAAGCTGTACTCTGACATCTCCAAATTAAGACAGTAGTAAATCAGGCTCAAAATTTCATGATCGTATTCTCGTCAAGTTTATCACAAAGTGCCCTAGCAGATTTTTTCTCCCTTCTTTTTGTTCCTTTAATTAGCAGGTGTTTCTGAAGATAAATTGATAAGACCCCAGTTTTAATCCTCACAAACTTCTTTTTTTTTTTTGTGCTAGAAGAACATTAAAAAAGTGTTGCTTCAGTCAGAGACAGTATACTACCACTCCAGGTGGCGAAGAGGGACCTTTGAGAACCTTTCAAGCGTGGCCACATGCAAGGTGCCAAACAAGCCTCTCTTCTGCTGTCATCACATTTATCTTTTCTTCTACAGAACAACCAAAATTCCGCATTAATCATTTCTTTATCCTTATTACTACCTTTCTCCTCCTATTGCTCATCTCCTGGTTTCTCAGCATTGTAAGGAAAGTTGCAAGAAAGAAGAAAAACAAGAAAAGGACGGACAAAAGGAAGAAAAACAGCTAGGATGCAGGAGTGAATAAAAAGGCCAAGAATTACAAACCTTTTGCACTCTTGATTCTGATGGCAGACTAATAATGACAGATTGTCTCGAAGGCAGAACAGAAATGCAAACCGTTACTTAAAAGCCATACTTTGATAGATTTCAAGATACCCCACTGGCGTAAAGCACTTAGATCTCACTTTTTATTTAAAAAAAGTATTTCATGTGGTTTCATTTTATAATAACCATCCTTCTTTGGATTAAGTCCAGAAAAAGATCAGGTTTGCTTTGAAAAAGCTGTAGAATGCCAACAGATTTCTCAAAGAGGCAGTTGCACAACCACCAATGTCTGGTCTCCAAAAGTAAAATAAAGTATCAACACTAAAAAAGAAGAAAGGACCACCATACAAAAGCAGCACAATTCTCATTTTTCCAGGCACAAAGGATGGAGAAAGAACTTGACACAGCGAATAATGCTTTCTGAGTGAAGAAAGCATCAGCATCCTTTTTTTACCCAGCTAAAGCATAAATGCAACCACTTATGGCTGAGTGGAAAACAGGGCTCTGTCTTCCTCAAGCGCTTGAAAAACCTGAAAGCTGACAGTGGACTGATTCAGGATTATCAAAGTTCAGACAAAACCAGCAGGAACAGAGGGTTAAACAGGTAGCTTTTTTTCAGACTTACTAACTGAACAGAATATTCTCTTCCTTTTAAAAACAAGTAACACTAACAACTTTGAATAACCTATACTTTTAGGCACACCGGCTGATACTAATGAACTTACTCTAGTCACGTAACTGATATTTAAATTTATCCATATGTTATCAGTGAATTTAATCATTATGAAGTTTTGTATAGAGAAGAAAAAACATACTCTGTTTTCCTACTACTCTATGGTTATGGTCTCATTTTTCTTTCTTAGAAAAAAGTTTGAGGTTACAGGGAGAGAAGGAATATCTTACATATTTTTTCCCACAATTTCAAACAATATATCTTCCAAATCATATCAGTAGCCATAATAAGCCAGGGATGCAGAGAAGATACTATGTAAATATTATGTATTATTTTTATAAACCTAGCACTATTTTTATTCTAAGATCATTGAAACTACAGGAATATCCATTTTTATTAGCTTTCATACATAAAAATATACTTGTCCTACAAGGTTTACTTTTTGTTTAGCTTAAAGATATTCCAAAATATAGGTTTTAATCTTTTGTTTCTATCATTTGTTCTTACTGATACTTTTCTGTTCTCTTCATCTATAACAAAACTGCAGGTTTAACAACATTTAATTTTACAGTACTGATATTTCAATACAATGTTAAAACTTAGTAATGCCTATCTCCTTATAAGCATCACACCCTTATTCTTTCATTGTTTACTACTTTGAAAAAATGAGAAAAAAAAAAATTGATAGATCAAAATGATTGAAAAATAGCAGTTTCTGCCACACCATCAAACAGCCCAAAGGATAAACCATTTACCTTGCCATTCCACAATCACTGTTTAGCATGAGGGCCAACTTTCCTTGAAATGTTCTTTATTTATTTCTCTTTTCAAACAAAGGTATGAAGAGCACCATCCTTTGCTTTTGTTGGTTTTTTCCCTTTTGGCATACTTAATGAGATGAGACAAGCTTCTCAGATTGAAGGTTCAGCCACTGTCATGAGTCTGGACATCGGTAGTCATGACCATGCCTCTTTTTAATGGATGACAAAAAGCAAATGGGGGTGTCTGAGCAGAAGGCTTCTTATCAATGAGGAAGAAACTACCTAAGAAGTGCTGTACACTTTCAAACTATTTCATAAAACCATATTTAAATCATAAGCTGTTGCAGAAGTACGTCTTGACACTTACTACCTTCTACTTCACCTTCTCATGGGGATTAAAAAACAGACACCACACAATTCTGGATATACCTGGATGCCTGTAGAGTCTTTGAGTATGACTTTGACAAGGAAAGCAATTACCTGGGGCTGTGGATCTCCTTTTGCTGGGGGTTGTGTATAGTGTGTTCACAGAGCAGCCTTAAATTCCCTTCATCAATGAGGTGGTATTGGTCCTCCTCCGAGTCATGTTAAGATGATACTGCTACAGCTGTGTTTTCCACAGCAAATGCTCATCCTTCACAACTCATGTGCCTAAGAGCCTTCTGTCTCACATCAACACAAACTATTAACCTCTTCAAGAGGCTCTAAATGGTTTTCAGTGAAGCTAAAGAAACTCGATTGAGAAGAACAACAGCTTCATCAACACTTATTCGACAAAAGCAGCTTTCATCTAGATTCTGTCTCAATTTAGTCACAAGGTTATAAGACTTCCCAACAATTCATAAGCTCTCCAGTATCTATCGTACCCCAAAGCTCCTCTTCAGGTTTGATTTGCTACTGTTCCACTCTTACATTTTTCAAGCCTCACAGAATTGCTCTATTTGTCTGCTTCACACCAATCTGCAATACCGAAATGGATGCTTTCTGGTACAGATCAAGGGGCTGATCGCTGTGGAGGACAAACCTGTATACATCAAGTCACTTCAAGAACTCTCAAGATTTGCAAGTACTGCCAAGAACCTGAGCTTACAAACTTGCTCCCTTTGAATTCCTCAGAGTTTCAGCTTTGCAATATTTCAAGGCTTTTCTAAAATTGTTTACTGTTTCAAGGGTGGCTATGGGAAGTACAGTAAAACAACTAATATATAATTAAAAAGCAGATGAGAAAAATTTTGAATTTCACAGTACTGAGCTACTGCTTTTTAAGCTGTGTACAGTGCCCGAATACCAAGCTGGTAACTGCAGAAACACATTTTCAT